TTAGGATCTTAAATCAACAAATAAACCCTTTACTCGGCATATTTTTTCTCTTAAATAGAGCTNTATTATTATATTTTCAATGTCAATGTCCATTTGTCTAACTATGCAACATTGCTCGTCCAGACAGACGTTCAGTGGACATAGTGGAACTCATGTAGTTTTTCACCCTTCTCATGATACTGAACTGCCTCTCAGTTGAGACTGTTGAGACCGGCATGGTAATAAGCCACACTACCAGACTTATGTAAATGTTGCACTAAGGTCAGAAGGCTTTGTTTCTTCCAAAGACCGGGCAACTTTCGAATTCACGTCTGAAGCTTTCACGATCTCCACTAAAGTCGTCATGAAATGCATCAAATATGGCATCTTCTTGAGCAGGTGTCTTCAATGGCTATTTAGTATAGAAACGACAAGGAACGTTTGATATAAGCATGCAGTCAAGTACGCATAAGGCAACTTTAGCTGAATTTTTGTTTGTTTGTCAGAATCATGTGGATTCAACTGCGTACTCGCGTATAGGCAGCTACGCGCCTGCAGATCGAGCATACACATTTTTATCTATTTGAGATGAGTCGTCTATCTCTTCACTCCACTCTGTACTCCCATAACATGAGAGGCCGCTGGTCGGCGTTTTTTCTATCGGATATGATTTTGCCGACTGCGACCGGCGCCTGTCAAAAGTTTTTCGCCGTGTAAAACCTCTAACATTGTTGGAGTATCCACTCTGCTGAGTTTTGCATTTATTTTTATTTTTACACCATATTAAACACCCTGTTTTGTTCATATCCGTGTCGATATATATACACCGATATAATGATCGGTTACATATACATATGTATATACACTGATAGCGAAAACACAGCTCACGTGTGTTATATATTTTTAGTGTGTCCAGTGTTAACGCTTCAATTGGTCACCATATGTATATGACACCACGGACTTAGTCTAATCTAATTCCGTGATGGTACACAATCAAAAGACAGCTTTTCACTCAAAGTTCTCTACTTTTATACACACAAGTATCAATGTAAGTACATCGTATGTTTGTCAATCAAGTTAGGATGTCCCATGCCAAATCGGTACATTCGCAAAATCGAGTTTACAACCGTGTCCGATCGGGCCGTTTTCGTTTAAACGGTCAAACCGGTCGGACCACTGTTGTTCGTTTATTAAAAAAGGTCGGACCTATTAATCTGACGCTGCTTTCAGGCGAGCCTTGCAAGGCCTGCATAAACATTTGCAGGTCCGCCAGGATTTATACCCGAAATTGTTACATTTATAAACAGTCCGTCAAACCGTTGGTTTGTTCCGCATAAACGAACAGGCCCCTTGACCGCCATCTCATCATGATCACTCGACCTGTAAAGCGTCACTTTGACCAAGATCGAAATCTGACAGAACTGTTTACTGACCGGTCACTAAGGACAGAATCACACGGTCTAGGGGTTAACAATTGGTAAATCATTCGTAATTACAGGTAAGTTTTATTATGTAACAATCTGTACAGGTATAGTAATTAACGAAAATAACCCCAACATCATGTAAATGTTGCAATATTACTATACATCATGTAAATGTTGCAGTATATCATTCCACGGACTTAGATAACTTATTCTAATTCCGTGATCATTCGAAAGAAATATATGTAGAAATCGTTATGTAAACAAAGCTACATGTAAATTCAACATTTTCAATAGGTCAGTCTCAGCAAGGACAGAAATTAAGAAGAAAAAAATCAATAACAAATGGTTATAATACTTAACAATATAATTTAGATGAAGCTTTCTTTCTTTCTTTCTTTTAATTTTTATAAAAATACCTGTATAATAGGGAATGCATACTTTTTGTACATTGCTCTGTGTTATGAAAAAAATTTTGGTGAAAAAAAAAGGTATTGGAGAAACTATATTCATATTTCAGAAAACTGAAGCATGTCAAACTATGGGGTGAGTTTTTACTGTTTGATGTTAATGTTACACCATTGTCACTGTTTTGTAGGGTGTATAATATATACACACTATTAGTAATTCCTTTTTATGCGCCCTATCCACACCCCAACTTTTCTTTTGAGGAAGGCGGGCATATAAAAGCGTTGCCAATGTCTGTCCTGCCCATCCTGTTGCATCCCATCCCGTCTCGTGGTGATTCATTGTCCCGACTCGTTCAACTTCATATTTGAATAGATTTGCATCTTTACACAAATAAGGTCAAGAATGAGAATACCTGGGATGAGATCTATTTCAGAGTCTTTATGACACCAATGTTGTTGCTATTTGTAAGAGAACCACTGAGCCAAGAGGCATACATGTCTTACAGAAGTTTTTGTGTTATTGAATATTTTTAGTGGTGTACCATTTCATTAAGAACAGCACCACCCTGTCCACCCCCCNCCCCCCCAGCTTTTTGGTGTTCAAAATACTGAATTTTGTGAAACAGAATGACAACTAGATCAGAAACTATAATTTGTGTAATATAATTTAAGTTTGAAGTATTTTATTTTCATATTTTGATAAAAAAAAACCACCTAAAAAGCAGGAAAATGATAACAAAAATTAAGAGAAGTTTCAAAATAATAAATCTTTGTTTGGAGAGAAAGGTAGTTCTGTATACTGTTAATTTCAGAGTAACTATGGTGGAGGCTATGGTGGAGGTTATGGGGGTGGAGGAGCGTATCCCCCTCCCAGCAGTGGCCCTCCACCCCCACCAGGTGGTTACGGGGGATACGGGGGTGGCTCTGCCTACAATGTGAATGGATACGGAGGATTCGGAGGAGGAGGTTTTGGTGGTGGATATGCCGTAGGCTCTGCTCCTCCCCCTGGGGGACAATACGGTGGTGCTTATGGTGGCGGTAGGTACCCAAAGGTTATAGGTCAATTTCCTTGTTTTTAGAAGAAAACAGAGTTGGTTTTTGAAAATATAAAGTACCTGGTAACATATAATTATTTTCAATAAGATTCATCAGTTTGGAAATATGTGATATCAAAATATCTTCTTCAAGACCGCCTGGTCCCTTTGTAAGGCTATGACTAGCTTGACAAAGGGACCAGTCGGACTTGAAATTTTGAGACACATTTAATACGTACAATGTTTGTGTAGAAAGTATTTTTTTTTTATAACATATGATTAATTTTGTATTATCAAGTTTCATAATACAGCCACTGCCAATAATTGTTTCCAATATCCAGCAAGAGTCTAAGAGGAGAAATTATACTTTCCTATACAAAATTGATCCAATAGTCTAGACATCTAACCACTTTCATTAGAATAAGGTCGCTGGATTACTTAAGCTCCTTTGTAAAAGTATTAGGCAAACTTCAGCTTTCGTTTTAAATGGACTATTTTCATCAATGTCTGTTAACAAATTTTACAGTATGCAAATTTATTTTGAAATATTGACATTTCAAATTGTTTGATTCTTTAGACATTTTAGCTTAAAATGATAAATCAATATTATTTGCTCAAACTTTCTTTGATAGATGAATTTCTTTCATTATTAAGTGTCTATAAACATCTCCGCTTTGTCAGGATTCCTGAGTGGTGCAGTGGCTGGATTTACTGTTTCTGCTGTCCAGCAGTGCGCCAATATGTATCAAGGAATGATGCCCCAGGTCTGTCTGTAGATATATATACACATCAAAACTCAGGTTTTCACCTCTAGCCCATTGTGAATAAGTTGGTAATACTATATGTGATGTCAACATAATGGGATGTTACTGTGTTTCGGTTTTTAAACTGAAAAAAACTATGCATAATGACAATTTAATCACTGCTTCCATGGCCTGGTAGAATAAAATATGTTTTTTGCTGTAAAATTTCTCAAGATATTAATACCAAATGATATGTAAACAATTTACTGCTTTCCACAATTTAAAATTATGTAAAACAATCCATAGATGGATGTATGATGATGATGATCGAGATGGTATGTAACATACCTTGTATATTTTATTCGGAAAGTATAAGTTACGACATGATTCCATTTTGTAGTTGATGAAGGTCAAGGTTGTTGAGAATTCTGGTCATTGTCATTGAGTTTTTATGTACATTGTGTATTACAGCAACAACAGATGCCACAAACTGTCAACTATGATTCCTACAACAACATGATGTTACAACAACAGATGCAGATGCAGCAAAAGGTAAGTGATCAGTAGGTCAAATGGTAGATTGTTCAAGGTCAGTTCTATACAAATAGTCTGGGGTCAAGGTCAAGTTCTGCACAAATGGTTGGCGATCAAAGTCAAGTTCTACACAAATGATAGGTGATGAAGGTCAAGTTCTACACAATTATAAGCTGATCAAGGTCAGGTTCTACAAAAATGTTAGGTGATCAAGGTCAAGTTTAATACAATTATTCAGTGATCAATGTCAAGTGCTACACACTTATAAGCTGATCAAGGTCAAGTTCTACACTAATTCAAGGTTATCAAGGTCAGGTTCTACACCAATGGTAGGGGATCAAGGTCAAGTTCTACATCAATGTTAGGTGATCAAGGTCAACTTCTTCACCAATGATGGAGATCAAGGTTATATGCTATGGTACAGTATACCACAAACTTGTTATGTTGATTTTGTAGTTCCAGCAACAAACAAAGGCAGAGAAGAAGAAGAGAAGGGTAAGACAATTTTTTACTGGACAAGATACCAATATATTTAAAAATATTTAACTAGTTATTTTTTACATAAAATAATCAGAAATGTTTGGAATCACCTGTAAATCATGAGCTTAATTTTGAGTCTTTGTGTTATATGTTGGAAAATGTAATCATATAGAAGAGCAGTATAATGATTATGACAGCAACTTGACACAAAACAGTTCATTGGTGGAAAGATTGTTACGTTCTAGGAAATCCTATGACACCTACCAGCCCTAGATTGTCATTGTCCGTGTTATCAAAATGACACAATTTTTATCCAATACGTATAAAGTCAGATTAAGGTTATTGTGTGCTGTTTATGGTAACAGAGAAGGGAGAGGCAAGAAGAAGAAGAAGAGGATGAAGAGGAAGAAGAAGAAGAGGAGGAGGAAGAGGAGGTAAATTGATGTATTGCATAACAATGGTAGATTGATTCACATACAATGATATCTGTTTAATTATTCATATAACATTTTAAGGATCACTGTCACTCTGCACTGTGCTTTTTTCCTGTTTGAGTAATCTCCCCTTAACTTCTGTTTGGATATACTCTAGCACAGTTGGGCAAAGACACTTCTGTTGGCCAGGTAGCACGATCGGTTAGAATGTTAGCATATCAATCTTAAATCCAATGTTCTAGCCCGGACATATATTTTACACTCTATACACTGTTGTGGATTATGTTTTGTTTATTTTCGTCTTTATTTTTTCTCATTAAATTTTGAAAGTCCAGCAAGATAATGTTTTTTTTAAGAAATGATTTATCAAAGCTATAGCTATAGTCAGGCTGAAAAAAATGTTTTCCAACACTTGGTTACAGTTTTTGGCAGTGGAATGGGGATCCTTAGGTGTGATGTAGTCATGTCTGTTTCATTTGATGCACATGTAAGGCTGACCTTATTAAAAAATGTATTATATGATCGTGTTGCTTACTAGGTTTACTTGTAAGAAATTGAATGGTCAGGTTTACTTTGAATTATTCACATATCAGGTTTATTCAGAGAGAGTTCACCTTTCAACTTTATTTCAATTAACGGTCCTTTCAATTATTCACAATCATATTTTTTTTTGGAGTGATTAATCAGTTTACACTTGGAACATGGATTCACATATCAGAGTATTTAAAGTGATTCACATATGATCACTAGCTAATACTTGGGGCATCAGTTCAGCAGATTCACATATCAGTTTTATTTGGAATGTTTTACATACCAACTTCAGAACATTTTATTTCACAATATTTAATACAGTTTCAATGCTACATATAAGGTATTTAGATAAACCTGACATGTGAATCAATCTCAATACCTAGTCCGAATTATTCTGACGTTTTATCAACATTTTTCATATCAGTCTGCTGTCTTAATTGACGACAGACTGATATGAAAAAAGTCGATAACACGTCAGAACTAGAACACTGACAGGTCAGTAAGGGCCCCATCTTGTGGTAATATATCCCACATAATCATCAAGAAGCAATCTGCCCATATAGTTGAGCTTGACGTTTGACATTTGGACTTAAAAAAAAAAATCGGAGATACGGGTGCCCTATAGTAATCACTCTGTCTGTCTGTCTGTCTGTCTGTCTGTCTGTCCGTCCAAAGAGGTCATTCCTGGCTGATTACTTTGGTATTTATTGACTGATGTTCATGAAACTTGGTCAAGATGTTCAGTACACAAAAAGTCAAGGTCAAAGGTTAAGGTGATGAGGTTCAAAGGTCGAGGTCAAATTTTTCATCTTTCCACTGATGAACATTTTGTTATGACATTATAAAGCAAAGTTGATCAGAATTAAACAAGGAGTCAACTGACCAAAGGTCAAGGTCATCGGGTCACGAGTCAAGGTCAAATTTTGTAGATTTTCATTGGTGAACATTTCGCTATGACATTATGAAGGAAAGTTGTTTGGAATTAAACAAAGAGACACACTGAGGTAAAAAGTTGAGGTCAAAGGTCAAAGTCAAATATTTCATCTTTCCACTGATGAACATTTTGTTATGACATTATGAAGCAAAGTTGATCAGAATTAAACAAGGAGTCAACTGACCAAAGGTCAAGGTCATCGGGTCACGAGTCAAGGTCAAATTTTGTAGATTTTCATTGGTGAACATTTCGCTATGACATTATGAAGGAAAGTTGTTCGGAATTAAACAAAGAGACACACTGAGGTAAAAAGTGGAGGTAAAACGTCAAGGTCATTAGATTCAAAGGTCAAGGTCAAATTTTGCATCTTTTCACTGATGAACATTTTGTTATGACATGATGAAGCAAAGTTGATCAGAATTAAACAAGGAGTCAACTGACCAAAGGTCAAGGTTAAATTTTGTATCTTTTCACTGGTGAACATTTCGCTTAGACACTTTGAAGCAATGTTGCTCAGAATTAAACAAGGAGTCAATTGACCAAAGGTCAAGGTCACTGGGTCAAAGGTGAAGGTTAAATTTTGTACCTTTTCCCTGATGAACATTTTGTTATGACATTATGAAGCAATGTTGTTCAGAACTTAACACAGAGTCAACTGACCTTAGGTCCAGGTTATGGGGTCCAAAGGGTCAAGGTCAAATTTTGTATTTTTTACTGATTAACATTTTGTTATGATATTAAGAAGCAAAGTTGGTCGGAATTAAAGAATAAGTCAACTGACCAAAGATCAGGGTCACTGGGTTAATTGTCAAGGTCATTTGGGTACAAAGGTCAAAGACAAAGTGGATCTCTGACTTTTACCCTTGCTGTTGATGGAGGAGGTATATAAGGTGAAATAAAACAAATCAAAGCTAACAAATGAGTATTGAACCGGTATTTACATTTCTGTTAGCCTAGCAAATATGGAGGTGGAAGGAAACAAGACTCCCATCATAGTACATGTATAATGTATATTTTGCTTCCTTGCGATTTTTTTTTAAGTCCAAATGTCAAACGTCAAGCTCAACTATATGGGCAGATTGCTTCTTGATGATTATGTGGGATATATTGCCACAAGACGGGGCCCTTACTGACCTGTCAGTGTTCTAGTTCTGACGTGTTATCGACTTTTTTCAGATCGATCTGTCGTCAATTAAGACGACAGACCGATATGAAAAATGTTGATAAAACGTCAGAATAATTCGGACTAGGTATTGAGATTGATTCACATGTCAGGTTTACTTGGACATATGATTCACCAGATTGATATGTAATGTTTCACCACGGACTTAGATAACAATCTAATCTAATTCCGTGCTTATATGTTTAGGTAAGGTTTTTATGAGTCAGTGTGATTCACAAATCCAGTAATTGGAATTATTGCCACATTGACTACACTTTAAACTTTATTCACACAGATCAGTTGTACTACAGCTGAAGTAGTAATCAAGGAGGCAGAAATATCGTAGAATCAATGATTAACATGTATAACAGAATCAATTTTAATTTTAATGATTTTTCAAATTGTGGACTCTGAAGAATGTCTAAAGTTTTCATGTTTTTTCTTTTTTTAAGTTTTAAAAAACATTTGATCAATATGTTTGATTTCTACAAATATTGGATATACAGTAATATGTGTGAATTTGTGCACCAATCACACCTACTTCACAAAAGGAAAAACTAAACCTGTTTTGCTTTGTTTTGTATCAATAATCTCACATGCAATTTTTTTCACTCTAATAATTTGAATTGCAGAGTTCAAATGGGGTAAGTTGGTTTTCTTTTCATTTAGTTGTTCAGATGTAAGTTTGTTCTTGCCTTCCAACTTCCCAGTATTTCTTGATGAAATTGGTGAAAAGTTCAGAAACTTTTTTTTAATTGAAATTTTCATAATTCTATCTATAGTTTATTAATTTTTAGCTCACCTGGCCCGAAGGGCCAAGTGAGTTTATGGCATGGTGCGGCTTACTTCCGCTGTCCGTCTGTCGTCCTTCCGGCATCAACTTTTTACTTTAAACAACTTCTTCTGAATAACCAAGAGGCCCCAGCTGATGATATTTGGCCAGTAGCATGCTGGGATGAAGGACTACCAAGTTTGTTCAAATGAATGACCTTGACCTACTTTCAAGGTCACAGGGGTCAAATGTCTTAAAATCTTCGAACGACTTCTTCTTAATAACCAAAAGGCCCAGGGTACTGATATTGGGCCGGTAGCATGCTGGGATTAAAGTCTACAAAGTTTGTTCAAACGAATGACCTTGACCCACTTTCAAGGTCACAGTGGTCAAATGTCTTAAAATCTTCAAATGACTTCTTCTCAATAACCAAAATGCCCAGGGTACTGATATTTGGCTGGAAGCATGCTGAGATAAAGAACTACCAAGTTTGTTCAAATGAATGACCTTTACCAACCTTCAAGGTCACAGGGGTCAAATGTCTTAAAATCTTCAAACAACTTCTTCTCAATAACCAAAAGACCAGGGTACTGATATTAGACCTGTAGCATGCTGGTATGAAGGGCAATGAATGACCAACTTTCAAGGTCACAGGGGTCAAATGTTTGAAAATCTTCAAACAACTTCTTTTCAATAACCAAAAGGCCCAGGGTACTGATATTGGGGATGTAGCATGCTGTGATGAAGGCTGTGATGAAGGGCTACCAAGTTTGTTCAAATGAATGACCTTGACCCACTTTAAACCTAATGTCCTTTTTTTCGACATCCCACGTCACAGGCGTCATATGTTTAAATCTTTTAATCGGTTCTTATAAATCAAACACTGAGATTCTGCCTGTTTTTAAGATATTACAAGTGTGAGATTAATACCAGGTGAGCGATGCAGGCCCATGGGAACTCTTGTTAAAGAAAATTATTACAAATTATATATACCTCACAATTTCATATTGCAGATAAACAATATATTCAAGAGTTCATTGTTTTGACAAAACATTTTTGCGAGAAACTGACTTAGTAATGTTCTAGTTATTTTCCTTGAATTTCTGCTTGATTGTATTGCATTATCTTATATTCTCTTAAATTAACAGAAATCTGGAAAGGTTAGCTTATTCTGGTCAATCCTCTAAAACAAAGAGTGAGAGTTTTTTAAGTGTGACATTGGCCTTCAAGAGAGTTAGATTCTGACAGTGTTCTGGCTACAATTGGCTCAGAAATTATTTTGATATCTTGCAACTATTTCATAATCAAGAGTAAAAGTCATAGTTTCCCTTTAAAAACGTTTATCATTTCCTTTACACACTAATGTTGAGGGTTCAATGTAAGGGGAAAACACAGTAGAAGTTTTAAGAATAAAAATGTGTGATAGAATTATTTTGCATAGTGCTTTCTAGATTTATATGTTAAAGAAAATGTTTATTTTGATTTGTTTATGTCACATTTAAAATTCAATTTTCATCACAGAAAAAAATAAAATGTTTGAATAACTAAATTAGTTATTTATGAAAGGATATTTTTGTGAGGTATTTTATGATAAATGTAAATTGTACATTTTATAATGTTTACTCAATATATATTGCCAGTTTTGACAAAAATTGACATTATATAAATTACTTCTGACCATGACTGGAATAATAATTATGATAATAATAAACAGCATTTGATATAGCTCCCTATCTAGCTATCATAAGCCACTCTAAAGCGCTTAATAGTACAATAGATATACAATTAATACAATAAGCGTAATCAATACAATTATACGAGACACAGATAGTCATCCCTATTATACGAGACACTGTTAGTCATCCCTATTATAAGAGACACAGACAGTCATCCCTATTATACGAGACACAGACAGTCATCCCTATTAAACCAGACACAGATAGTCATCCCTATTATCCCAGACACTGATAGTCATCCCTATTATACCAGACACAGATAGTCATCCCTATTATACCAGACACAGATAGTCATCCCTATTAAACCAGACACAGATAGTCATCCCTATTATACGAGACACAGATAGTCATACCTATTATACAAGACACAGATAGTCATCCCTATTATACGAGACACTGATAGTCATCCCTATTATTCGAGACACAGATAGTCATACCTATTATACGAGACACTGATAGTCATCCCTTTTATACGAAACACAGACAGTTGTCCCTAATATACCAGACACAGATAGTCATCCCTATTATACGAAACACAGATAGTCATCCCTACTATATGAGACACAGATAGTCATCCCTATTATACAGAACACAGACAGTCATCCCTATTATACAGAACACAGACAGTCATCCCTATTATACGAGACACAGACTATATATACCGGCAGAACATTCAAATCGATGATCTTTCTGGGTAAAAAAACTCTGAAAATATCTATAGGTGTATCATTTGTGCACCCCCAACTTCAACCTTAATTTCAGCATCAAAAAACTGTGCAAACTACACAAATGTTTACAGTACGTTGTAACAAGCACCGTTTATGATCCAGAACTCTCTGCAAACGGGACAAATTACCGATATGTGATGTCATCAACATCCAGTTTAGACAGAGGACAATGTATTATAGTTTTGCTAAATTGGTTTGCTTTTTATAGGTATATGTATTTTTTATGGCCATGGTTTTGTATCACAGTAATTTTCATTTTATGTTTTTTTCTTTGTCTGTTAATGTTGTTATAGTGAAATAATTAGTTATAATGACTTTAGATGAACTTGTTGAAATAAATCCCATATAATGTAAATACTTTCCTAAATCAGTTTCTTTGAAGGATCAATCTAGATCAGGAAATTATACATTTTTGTTAATTTTCTCAGAAAATCATGATAATGATAAGTGCTTCTCTATTTTACACAAATTGACAGATATTTTGAACATGTTATTTTTTTCCCAGTAAAAACAATAATTTTCAGCTCGGTGATATATCAGAACCGAACATAAAAAGTAATGAAACAAATATTGGCACTGCTACAGATGTAGGTAACATTTGCTCGCGTGTTTAATTAAGTGTGAATACCTGAAAAATGTGCACCAAAAATTTCAGTGTTTATTATGATATGAGAATGAGGATATTATGATTTTCATAGTTAAAAGAAAATCTTTTCAACGTTTGCTTTGTAAGGGTGGATTAAATGTTGGGAAACCCATAATGTTCTATGTGAACCATTGAGTAATCATTCTGCATACAGATTGGTATCTACTTTCCCTTGTTAATTAGTCTCTACATTCAATAAGCAGCACTGGCTCATCTCCTCCTATTAAGCTCGAGGCCTAAGGGTCAAATAAATTTATGCAACAGTGCAACCGCCATTGTCCGTCCATCAGTTTGGCATCAGTTTTTCTCCAAATTCTGCTGAGTAACCAAATGTGTAAAATTCCTGTTAACAACCTTCTTGACCCTTATTTAATGTAGTAGGGACAAATGTGTTAAAATCTACAAATCTACAAATCTTCAAAAAGCTGTAATGTAAACTTGCTTTTAGTCAATTTATTTTTATGCTGAATTGAACTTTGATCTTGACCTTTTTGAAGGTCACAGATGAAAGAGTTTTTTGCTAACAGTATTGCATAAATGCATTAGATCTCATGCTAATTTTGATTAACATTTTTAAGTAATTATACCCCAACTATATTTAAACTCCAAGTAAACCCCTGCTTACTTTGTACTCTGTCATACCTGTATCCTGATATGGCAGTACTGTGCACTATGTATTGATAATGTTTTATTGAAGTACCATCATACAATTTGATACTTATCCTATTCCAAATGTCCACTTAAGTTTATTATAATTATGATATAAAATGTACCAGTTATATATCCTTCCACTGATTTTGTCTGTTTGGTTTAACAGGGGCTGTCTGATGAGGTAAAGGCGCATCTGAAATCTATGTACGTTACAGAATGTATGAAACGTCTGCAGCTGTCTGGAACATTTGATTTGACCTCTGGTACTGTGACGGGCTTACACGTGTATCCAGACACTGACCCAGTCGTGGCATACCACAATAGTGATGATGAACATGCTGAGGGAACAGATATTACTGGTCAAAAATGGAGCTCGGAATACGACTGTCTTTACCTCAGATGGGCAATGAAGGGTTTAGGTTTGTAATTTATTAGAAGGGTAATTTCTTCATATTTTCATAACAATACATAAAATATAAATATTTTATTTGTTTAACAACAATTATGAAACAATGTCTTTCAACTTATATTACTCATTCTTGTTCGCCCAGTTATTTATATTTGAACTTCACTGAGAAAATCTATTCATTATATGACCAATTGTTCATTTCACCATTCACATCTACTTTCTCTAAATTATAATAATAATAATAATTCAAGGTTCTTATATACCGCTTTATCACAACCTAGTTCGTAGGTCGTTTCAAAGCATATTATATATGCCATGTACTTATATTTTCCCAACCTCAGTTAATGGAGGAATACAAATTCAAACTGTGACAAACATAACCCAGTATACAGTATAATTATGATATAAAAAAAGAAGAAATGTTTGTAAATTATATAGAGTGTATAAAAAGATGGATTAACTGACAAAATATGCAGCGACACAATTCAAATGCAAAATTAAGCAACAGTTATGATCATGTCGTGTCATAGATTGTCTATTAATGTCTATATAACTGTTTCTAAATAACCATGACCCCTTAAGTATTATGATTTTTGTAGACCAATATATATAGTTATATCTATGATGTACAGTTGGTTTATTTTGTTACAGGCACAAATGAGCAAGCAATCATCGATGTCGTTGCCACAAGAAACAACGCACAGAGACAGCAGCTCAAGCAAAAATTCAAAACAGCCTATGGCAGGGTAGGTTTGTTGGTACATTGCTTCAGTAAAAAACAGTTTGATGTTTGTATTGTTTTAAAGTTTTATTGTCTATAGTTTTAAACAAATCATTAATAACTTTAAAATATTATATCTGTTGAAAATTTGTAAGGAAGGAACAGATAAATTCATTTCCTATTTTAATGACATACACGACTAGTTAATGTTGGTTAACCTTAAACCAGTTGCCCTAACTTTCATGGCATTTTTTAAACTTTACAATCACAAATTATTCAAACTGCTGTTTGTTTCACACTTTTCTTTAAGGATCTGATTAAAGACATCAACGGAGAGCTGAGTGGTAATTTCCGTGGAGCTGTTCTCGGATTGTTTGTGCCCCCCCCTCGATATGATGCCTGGTCCATCAAGGAGGCTATTTATGTAAGTAACTTAGTGTTAAGGTCATAGGAGTGTATTGATAAACGGAAATCCAATGTAGGGAGACAGTATCACAATTTCCGCATATTTTAATGTTTAATATTAAATTGATGAATATTGTATGTTTATTATTGACAGAACAATGTGTTCTCTCAATATTAAAGTATTTCAAAGCAATCCAGGCATTAATTCAGGTTTTTTCTATCAATGAGTCACATATGTCCATTTTTCTGTACTTCAGGAAACCGGCTACCTATTTTACTACTGTGAAGTTTTTCAAGAAAGATAACTCTTACATGCAATTACTATGTGTATATGGTTTTATTATAAAATGTCAATTTTTAATCGTTTATAGATAATTTATTTTACACAATTTCTGCATTTATTAAATTGATAAACATTAATGCAATACTAATCTATGTCAGTATCATTTGTATTGACATTATTTTGCAAAAAATTGGTCTTTCATTTTTTTCTTCAAAATTCAATCCTTTTTACATAAATTTCCATTTAAAATCCTTAAAATTTCGACAACCTATATTTTTTTTGTGGCAGAAAATTTTCTTTACTTCAAAGCAATATAACTACAAAATTTGAATAAATTCTACTGAGAAATGGTGACACAATCCTATTACCTTAAGTCTTCAATGGAACCAAAATCATTTACTTTGGTTTTTTTATTTCATCCTTAAAAATTATGCTGAAAAACACTTAATTCAGGACTAATTCATATTCTTAGTTTTCTAAAAATGTTTATCTATAAAAAAAAAAAAAAAAAATGCTTTTTAGGTCACCTCAGACAAAGTTTCAAGTGACCTATTGCGATCGTCTTTTGTCCGTCGTCGTGCGTCCGTAAACAATTTACATTTTCGACTTCTTCTCCAAAACCCCTGAACCAATTTCAGTGAAATTTTGCAGAAACATGCCATGGCCAAAGGTAAACCAAAATTGTGAATTATATGGTCCCCAGCCCCTAGGGGCCTGAGGGTCAAATTGACTAAAATTTCAAAAATCTTCTTCTCAAGATCCTGTTATGCTAGAATCAAATACTCTTCATAGATGGAAGGGTCTTAAGGTGCTTTACAAAAATTGTGAATTTCATGACCCTGGGGTCTCACTTTTCCCCCTTGGGAGGGGGTAAACTTTACTATAGCTTATATAGGGAAATCACATTTTGTACCAACATTTGTTAAGTTTCCATTGGAATTAATTCAAACTTGGTTAGCATTATCAGTATTGGATAGCAGTTTGATGGTATGACATATCAGCCCTGACTGACCCCCAGGGGCTGATGCACGGGGCCAAAAAGGGTCAAATTGACTAAAATTACAAAAATCTTCTTCTCAAGATCCAGATATGGTAGAATCAATTATTATGGTTTATATTGGCAAATGATACCTTGGATATCACATGTTGATAACTTGATTGGAAATCGGAATTATATACCTGAGTTGACAGTTTGATACTTTTTTTGATAAATTTTGAGCCAGCCCTACCTGCAAGGGCTGTAGGGTGGGGCCCAAAGGAGTCTGTGTGCTAAAATTTCTTCATTTTCCTTGTTTAGAATCAGAGGTGCTAGTTTCAAATACTTTTCAGTCTCAAATATGTATGCTAGGTATTGGATAAGGTGGGTTTATTGTTTTTTGTCACTTTGAATAATATTTCTGTTCATGTATTAAAAACAAAAATCAACTCTCTGTATAAATATATCAGAAATCAGGTGACTGTTATGGGCCTCTTGTTTTTAGCTCACCTGGCCTGAAGGGCTTCTTCTAAATAACCAAAATGCCCAGGGTACTGAAATTGGGCCTGTAGCATGCTGGGATGAAAGGCTACAATGTTTGTTCAAATGAATGACTTTGACCCACTTTCAAGGTCACAGGGGTCAAATGTCGTAAAATCTTCAAACAACTTCTTCTCAATAACCAAAAGGCCCAGGGTACTGATATTGGGCCTGTAACATGCTGGGATAAAGGGCTACCAAGTTTGTTCAACTGAATGACCTTGACCCACTTTCAACCTAATATCCTTGTTCGACATAGAAGGTCACAGACGTCACTTGTTTAAATTTTTTAAAAGGTTCTTATGAATCAAACACTGATATTCTGCCTGTAGCTGTATTTTAGTCCACTTTTAAGATTAAAAGTGTGAGATTAATACCAGGTGAGCGATGCAGGCCCATTGGGCCTCCTGTTTAAAGAAAGACTAATGCTTGCATATTTATGTTTCATAAAATGTTAATGCTGACTGTGAATTGATTATGTTTCTTTATAACAATAGTGTAGATTACTTTTTTCCTGTGATCATAATTTCTTGTAAAATTTGCTTTGAGTATGAATTCAAGTATCACAAAAACAATCATACATCAAATATTAAGACTTATACACATGAAGTCAGACATGAATGTTAGTCCTTCGAAAGAAATATGGAAAGTTGTTTATTAAAAATCAAAATGTATGTGTGAAATATCAGTGACCTATGTTACTCAGAAATCTAAATGACATGTCTCATAGGTTTTAGAGAGAGCAGTACTAATCAGACTCACCATTTCCATGTCCACAGGGCCCCGGGACAGACGAGCGTAGCTTGATTGAGATCATGATGACTAGGACCAATGCTCAGATCAAGGAGATGCGAGAATGTTATGGAGAGGGTACAAATTATAATCTTTAGAACCTCATTAGGGCCAGACACTTTGTTTTCTGTCATCCAAGTACAGTCAAATTTGTATCTAGAGACTAAACTGTGGGAATCAATGAAGTGGTCTCTTATTGAAGGTGGACTTTTAATACAGGTTCAGTTAACTTTTGGTTTGGTTTGGTTCGGTTTAGTATTGTTAAACGTCCTATCAACAGCTATGGTCATTTAAGGATGGCCTCCCCTGTGTGCAAGATGAATGAGTGTAGTGTATGCGTGCATGTTTTGGGAGGCTGCGATATGTTCGTGTTTGTCTCCTTGTGATAACGCGGAACTGATGCCGACTTTATATTGCTACCTCACCGAAACTTGCTGCTGAAGACTCCCAGCAGGACATCCCACCCGGTCACATTATACTGACAACAGGTGAACCAGTCGTCCCACTCCTAATTTGCTGAGCGTTAAGCAGGTGTAGAAACTACCATTTTTAAAGACTTTGGTATGTCTCGGCCAGGGGACAGAACCCGAAGCCTTCCTCACAGAAGCGAACGCTCAACAAATGGCCACAAGTGAGGCATTGTCAAGGGAGACATTAGGAAGAAGAAAGTTAATTAGAAAGGAGAGAAGAGATAAGGTCCCAAATTTAGTCGCCTCTTACGATCATGCAATTGGGGGCAGCAGGTACAATTCTTACGCCCTACCTGCATGTAGTACCCTTGACATGATCATATAGTTATAGCCTGGATCCCAATGTAAAGAAAATACATGGATACCAATACAGGTAGCTCAGATCTTAAACCTGCAGATCAACATGCACTAGGGTTCATGATACATTGTGTTTATCAATTTGATACCTAACATAAAAATACAAAGTACAAAGGAAGATAATTAATGAGTTGTACCTATCACATGGATATTTATTATTTCTAATTAATTATATTCGCACAACAGATGTGTGGCAGGTTTTATTTCAGTGACAAGATTAATTGTTCTGTTCCTAATTGTAGTAAATGGACAAATCTTATTTATCTGTGTTTTAGAAAGTTTGTTGATGTTTCCTAACATATAATGTCAGTGAATGACTAATGGTTCTTATAAATGACAGTGAATTATTTTCTAAACAGTTGTCAGTCCAAGCCGCAAGGTAACAGAAAACAAGATTGAGGATGACATAAGGGATGATACTTCTGGGGACTTCAAGCGTCTACTCATCTCAGCAGCCCAGGTATAACTTCAATACACTATTTTACTATAGGGATAAACCCATATGGTGTTTATCAGATCCATGTATTCAGTTTTCTTTAACAAATGTTTCAGATTCTTTGTCACCACAACAGCTAGAGTGTATCCCCTGCAGGCTTTAGACTTTTCAGTAGACCCAATAACTTTCATGATGTAATGCATTCGAATGTAACTTCTTAGGCATTTGTACATCAAAGAACATCAAAGAACAGAGTGTTAAATATTCAGCAATACGGAGGTCAAGATCTCTTTATATATATCTCCTTTATTATTTAAAGCTGTAAAATCAGACAAACCAGAGGTAGAGGGCAAATGAAATATATGTGTTCAATAATTTTTCCAAATATAGGGAGGAAGAAATGAGATAACTGTAGAGCAGCTTAATGATGGTGTAGTAGAGATTGAGCGTGATGGGGTAGGCACTGGACTCTTCCAAGTGGACTTCAAAAAGCTAGCTGATATGGAGCAAGCCAAAAGAGATGCCAAAAAACTGTTCAAGGCAGGAGAGGACAAATGGGGCACTGATGAGGAAACTTTTATCAGGATATTTGCAACGCGAGACCCATATCAGCTTCGCGCTACCTGGGATGAATATGTCAAGGTAAGGCTTGTAGAAGATAATAAATGCCTGCAAGTTATTATCCTGAATGTCATACGAAATGTACTGCATTTGTTTTATTTTCAGCTCACCTATGCAATGGAGCAGCGTCCGTCGTCCTGCATCAGTCATCCGTAAACTTTTCCCTTTAAAACACTACTACATGTACCAGGTAGTCCTTAACGGCCCAAAGGATTTGCCCAAATTTGGTCTGGAGCATCATTGGCGAAAGATCTCTCAATTTTGTATAAATGGAGGATATGGCCTCTCTGGGGGCTGAGGGGCAGGGCCAAATAGGGGGAAAATAGGTAAATCTTCAAAAATCTTCTTCTTTTAACCAATAGAAGGATTTTGAATAAATTTGTTCGAGAGCATCTTTAGACAAAGGGGCCTCAAGTTTGTATAAACGGAGGGTGTGGCCCCCCTGGGGGCAGGTGACAGGCCCAAAAAGGGAAATAGAGGAATTTTTTTCTCCTACTGTACAAGTGAAAGGATTTAAACCAAATGCAGTCTGGAGCATGCTAAGGGACAAAAGAATTAATTTGTATGAACTGAGGTGTGTAGGCCCCATCCTTTCGGGCAAATGGGTGTGGCCCATTAGGGGAAATAGAGGAAAACATTAAAGATCCTTCTCCTTTTGTACTGAAGAAAGGATATTAACCAAACTTGTTCTAGAGCATCTTTGGGCAATGGGAATTTAATATCTATATCTATTAATGAAGGATGTGGCCCCCCTCTGGAGGCTACCTCCTTAGGACATAACACAGAAACTCATTTTCTTGGTGTCTTACCCACCAAAACATGTAGTGCTTCTTGCAACTTTGCTTCTTGTATTCCTTTGATAAACCTGTATGGTACTCAGCAGGTTTAAAATTAAAATTAAAATACCAGTTGACCCCTGAGCCTCTTGTTATCAATTGTAAAATAGGTTTATTTTTTATTTTGCCTGTTTGGATTTCACAGTGTTTAGCCATTAAGACAAGTAATGAAAGTGATTAAAACCTGTCTAAAAGGTATGGGAACACCAATATATCTACATTGGTTTTTCTCAGGGAATTCCAGTTCCCTTACTTTTGTTTTGTCACTTCCCTACTCATTCTTTAATGTCTGGGGTTCTTTCCCTGGAAACTCTCCTTCATATGACTTTGCATGGTTGTTGTGAGGATGTTACACCCAAACAAGCACTAATAAGTTGGCTTCAGATCCGCGCTATCACAAAGAGGCATGTACACCAACATACCCTGTCTCCTGCACACATACACACATGGACGCTTACACAATACACATGGAGGCATGTCCTTAAATGACCTTTAGCTGTTAAATATAAAACCTAATAAACCAAAGTTAAACCCAAACAAACAAACATTGCTGTTGCTTATGATTAACTGAGACAAATATGTCTATAGCTTTAGTTCTATTACAATTTTGTGAATACTTGACAATAAATGTTACTTAATGTACAGTCCACATTGGTTATTAGCTCACCTGGCCCGAAGGGCCAAGTGAGCTTATGGCATGGTGCGGCATCCGTCGTCCGTCAGTCAACTTTTTACTTTAAACAACTTCTTCTCAGTAACCAAAAGGCCTAGGGTAATGATATTTGGCCAGAAGCATGCTGGGATGAAGGGCTACCAACTTTGTTCAAATAAATGACCTTCATCCATTTTCAAGGAAACAGGGGTCAAATATGTTAAAATCTTTAAACAACTTCTTCTAAATAACCAAGAGGCCTAGGTTGATGATATTTTGCCTGTTGCATGCTGGTATGAAGGGCTACCAAGTTTTTTCAAATGAATGACCTTGACTTATATTCATGGGCACAGGGGTCAAATATGTTTTAAACCTTTAAACAACTTCTTCTGAATAACCAAGAGGTCAAGGGTGTTGATAGTTGGCCAGTAACATGCTGAAATGAAGGGCTACCAAGTTTGTTCAAATAAATGACCTTGATTTATATTCAAGGTCACGGGTCAAATATGTTTAAAACCTTTAAACAACTTCTTCTGAATAACCGAGAGGCATAGGGTGATGATGTTTTGCCTGTAGCATGCTGGGATAAAGTGCTACCAAGTTTGTTCAATTGAATGACCTCGACTTATATTTAAGGTCACAGGGATCAAATATGTTAAAAACCTTTAATCAGCTTCTACTGCATAACCAAGAGGCCTAGGATAATGATATTTGGCCAGTAACATGCTGGGATAAAGGGCTACCAAGGTTGTTCAAATGAATGACCTTGACTCATATTCAAGAGCACAGGGTCAAATATGCTTTATACAACTTCTTCTGAATAACCAAGAGGCCAAGGGTGATGATATTTGGCCATTAACATGCTGGGATGAAGGACTTCCAAATTTGTTCAAATGAATGACCTTCGCCTATATTCAAGGTCACAGTGGTCAATATATGTTTAAATCATTAAATGACTTGTTTTGTATGAGCAAAAGGTCCAGGGTAATGATATTTTGTCAAAAGCATGCTGGGTTGAAAGACTATGAACTCTGTTCAACCTAATGTCCTTGTTCGACAATCAAGGTCACAGGCGTCATATGTTTAAATCTTTTAATAGGTTCTTATTAATCAAACACTGATATTCTGCGTGTAGCTGTATTTAAATCCACTTTTAAAATTACAAGTGTGAGATTAATACCAGGTGAGCGATTCAGGCTCATTGGGCCTCTTGTATTAGGAAATATTATCTAGATCTCATCCTCCAAGATGGTTGCCATGGCTTCAGGTTGGCCGAGACTTTTTAAGCTAGACTTTCTCTCCTGTTGGTCTGATTTTGTTCACTCTTGGTAGAAAATGGTACTTGTTAGATAACATATGTTTTTTAGATGCCCATATCTTGATATCCAAGATGATCATAGTGGCTCACATGTTTAGTAAAATTAATATGGGAGATAAATATATACAGGCACACAAAACTATGGTGACAGTACCAAAATTGGATCAGCAAACCATCATTTTATTAATTCATTGAAAAATCTGAGGAGGAACTATATTCATTTATGGTTGTATCAAAGGAAGAAAATCGATGGGTGTCCTTCCAAACAAAATTAGCATATGGGGCTCACTTGAGACAATCAGTGTTTCCGGTTTTTGTGAATGTAAGGACCCAAATCGGATCAAGGCTTGAATTTTGCAGTATCTTACACTTCAAACGAATATGTTTTGTCAGCATATTACCATTTATGATGACCTTTAGAATTTATAGTATTTCTGGTGCTATTTGAACTTAAAATCTGGTCATCTGTAGACAAAAAATGATGTATTGCTATCTTTTCTAAGAGTACGTCCTAGTTATAACTGATCTATTGATTTATAAGTATTTTTGCCAAAAGTGATCCGATTTGGGTACTGATCCGATTTGCGTACTAATCCGATTTGGGCACTGCCTCCTTAGTTAATTTTGTTCTTTGATCTCACACAAAAAAAACATGAGTTTGATTCTATATATGCATGCACATCTTTTCTGGTGTTTTTTTGACAGTAATCTTAAGTCAAATAATGTTTAACAAACAAACTGAAATTGTTCTTTTTATTACAGATCACTCAACGAGACATTTTAAACTCTGTTGATCGGGAAACATCTGGAAACTTTAAGAAGGCACTGTACACCATTGGTAAGGCATTTCTTGACTTCAGATTTAGCAATCTAAATACATTGTATATAGTTCGGTTTTCTGTCTCGATATTGTTAATTGCCATTTCATTTTAATATTAATTACAATAATTTCAGTATGCTTATCTTCTGCAACCACTCTTTGTTTGTATTCAAGTATAGACAGTTTGAGATCTGCAAACCACTTTTGTAGGCCACTTTTGCCAAATATGCCTGCATGCACAAATAATGTTGATTTTTAGTTGCTTTCGTGACAAGTTCTTGTGTTGAATGTGGGCTAATTTTATCAGGACGATTTCGTCTTCCAGGTCAACAATGTGGTCCTTTTTTTTATTTGTAGTTATGTTTGCCTTTCTGTCTTTCTTTACTTCATTCTTTTGTGTGAAGTTATCGATTATGTTATTTGCATTTGCAGGCTCGCTTTTCATTTCAGAAATATATTAAAAGTTATATTTATAAAATTGCAAAAGAAATGTGTTCTGTCATTATCTGTTTTGCCACACTTACCAATGTTAATCAGAAGCACGGCATGGCTCATGAGTGAAGTCACTCCCGTAACTATTTAGATCAAGTAAATCAGAGAAGGATAAGGACAAATATAATGACAGTGCTGGTTCAACTAAGGACATCAGTTTTAGTCTTGATGCATTGCTACGACTAGCTTAATTTCTTTTTTTTCTGAGCTTTCCTCCAGGAAATTATATCTCTGTCAGTATAGTTACTTACTCTGCTTGCAACTCCAGAACTGCCTTGTTTAAATCCTTGGAGTGTACAGCTAGCTCCTCCTGTCAGCTTTGTACCTCACTTTCTTGATCTACTCTTTCTATCAGACTTTCTCTCTCCCCATTGGTCCTGCAACCAGCAAAGATTAAGTGATGACCTGTTGATTAGCCAGGCAATCTTTGACATTGTAAATGTCCGACTACTATAAACTTTGATCTGATGGAATCTAAAATCTACACGCCCAATTTTTATTGACATAATGTAATTTTGTACTTTCAATATTTCTGCAGTGACTGAATGCACTATCATTCTACTGTGACGTCAAAAACAGATAAGGCGCTATTCATCTGGAGCAATCTCCACATTATAGGTTTAACCTTGTGTTCACGGGCATTGCTGCCCTAGCAACCTTTAACCAGCCTGCGATGGGTTTTGCATCATAGAATTGCATATTTTGAGAGGATGGCCTAACGCCATAACAAGGATTTCCAATTCTGGTCCCTGGCATTCGAGCTAACCATCGCACAGTTTGGTTACTAAAGTGTCCGTCATCGTATATTTCATACACCCATATTATACTTGTTCACATCTACCTTGACGATTCCATGTTTGGCATGGTCAGGATTTGGTGGTGCAGGATATCTTTATGGCCCTGTAAACTTTTGCTGCATGTGGGTTCCTTATACATCTGGAGAGAAGCTAGGTATTTCACTTTCTGGGAAACTATTTTTGAACCGTTTAGTGTTACATCATTGAAGTTCGTCATATTTCGTATTGCACTGTCTTCAGACATATCGAGTTACTTAAACCTATTTTTACTTCAGTGGTTAAGTGACTATTCTACCGTGTCCATTGTTAGCTAGTCATACACACCTAGCAATAATCCATGATTGTTTTTCTCCTGAGCCCATCGAGTTCCCTTGGTCTGTAAGGTGGCCCTGCCTGTTAGTTTACTGAGTTAGACTTCATGAGATTAGGATCCCTGCTTTGTCCATTGCCCTTCTGACTCGCTCTTCTATTTTAAACATCTCTCCTTCCTTCTTGTGTTGTCAGACCGCTTTACTGATATACCTGAGGGTTTTTGTTCCATGCCAGCCGGCTTTCTCTTGGACCAACTGCCATGACCAATTATGTGGCTGCTCCTCAGTAAGAATCAAGAGCATGCCAATATTGGTTTGCAGGTTTATAATTTCATCCTGATATTTTCTCCAGTTAGCTGTCAGTATATGTGTATAGTCTGTGAAGTTGACTTAATCTCGAATTTATATACTGTAGTATTTGATTTGACAAAAAATATTTATCATGGTTTATTAATAGTCACTTTTATCTGTTACATAGTGGCTAGTATTCGTTGCCGACCGATGTTCTTTGCTGACCGTTTGGTGGACTGCATGAAAGGACTGGGAACCAATGATGACGATCTTATTCGTATCATTGTGTCCAGATCTGAGGTATGTATTCCAACTTTGTACAGCCAGCACACCAACACCAAACATTTTGCCAAACAGTCAATTCCTTAGTTATACTTTTGTAATACAGTTTTATTTGTCCAATAGATGATCTATTTTACTATTCAGCTTTTTCTACAATTATGTGCTTGCTCATGTGTTTTTGTATTTTTTTTAAAGAAATGCTCAAATATCTATATTGAGGATTGAAAGCATTCTCAAAGTTTACAACTTTTGAAATTGTGATCCTGGATTGAAATATGATGTTTTAATAAAGATAATTCAAACATATGACACACTTACTTGGCCTGTTTTCGGATTCAAATGGATCATGGAAAACACCGAAGTATTAATTTGCATATTTTCCAATAGAAACTTAAGTTCAACTTTGAAAATGAAAACTGAGGTTTCAAGTTTGCTTTACAGAAAATGTATCCAAGAAAATTTAATGTACTTCATAATTAACCAAAATGGGTTTTTTAAAGGAGATAAAGTCCGAAATGTTTATTGCTCAAGGTTGAATAAACTAGATAATTTTGTTTAAATTTTCAGATTGACATGGTACAGATAAAGGAATGTTTCCTCACGAAGACCAAACAAACACTGTGGAAATGGCTTGACGATGACTGCAGTGGCGACTACAAGAGACTGCTTCAGCTTATTGTTGGGAAAGACTAAGCAGAGCTAGATATGGATACATGTCATAATCCGTGACTCTATCAACTGTTAGAGATGTATTGTTCAGTATGAAGTAATTGGCTATCTTGTTCTGATCTTCAAAGCGAAGTTCTTCACTATTCTCTTGCTAATTCATTATGTTATCAAATAAAGGAAAATATGTCAATTTTTAGGGTCCCATGTTTTAAGAGGACGTTTTAATCTACTTGGTAAAATACAGCGATGGGAAAACAATATTTGCATGCAGCAATATATTTAAATATCCTCAGGTTTCATCCATGCTGATCTTGAAGTAGAAAATATAAAAAAAAATGACAGACGTTTGTGATACACCCGTATAGGTTTAAGCAAAATGTGTAGATAANCCTGTATATGTATTTATCACATTTTACATGTAATAACAAACCTTGGGATACTTTAAATCTTGATATAACACCCTCGTTTCCTATACTTTCATTTTATCACCTTGCATTTCCCTTTTTACACTTCCCGCAATATATTATTTTAATGTATAAACCCACATCTTCTTTGAAAATGTTGACCTATTTAAAATATGATTATTTATGGTAATACCTGTACAAATGACCATCTTTACATAAACCCAGTGCTGTTGTACCTATTTTCTGAGAAGTTAGATTTAAATCCTTCCGGATTTGTCTTTGTATGGATAGAATGTGTAGTAGTGCGAGAAGACAATTTTGTTCAAACGAAAGA